AGTACACATTCCACTCAAATAGACATCTATCATGGTCAAGAATAGACATGATGTGGATGTCAACAGAATTAATAGCTAAAATACAAGAAATTGATATTGGAATAAATGTATGGGCAGACCCAATCCAATAATAATGACATGGAAAGGGAAAAAAAGAAAAATGAGATGGATATTAAATCAAAAATTACTAAATGAAAAAAATTTCCAACAATATATGGAAAAAGAATTGACTTTTTTTTTTTAAGAGAATAAGAAAGAAGATATATCCTTACAAAACGTGTGGGATACCAGTAAAGCATATATTAGAGGATTGGCAATAACATATTTAGGAAAACGAAATAAACAAAATAGACAAATGCACAAAAATTTAGAGGAAGAATATAAGAGATTAGAGATGGAACTACAAAAAAATAAAAGATTAAAAATCTGTTGGATTTGAAAAAAAACATAAGATGAATTTAATGGAAAATGAAGAATTGGCGAATAGAATAAAAGCTACAAAGCAATTTTTTTTTGAAAATGCAAATAAACCAGGACGATCGTTAGCATATAAAATGAAAAAAGAGAAAGAAAAGAAATTAATAAGTCAATTAATAGATCAAGATGGAAAGATATGTTATAGAAGTGAGGAAAAGAAGAAGATAATTGAGAAATACTACAGTGGATTGTATCAACAAGAAACAGTAGAAGATAAGATAGAACAATATTTGAAGAAAACGGAACTGCCTAGAATTCCAGAAAAGTCCAAAAATTATTAGAAGAAAGAATATCTATGATGGAATTAATGGAGGGAATTAAAAGACAGAAAAATGGGAAGACACCAGGCCCAGATGGATTACCAGCAGAGGTATATAAAACCCTACAAGATGTACTAAGCAATGTGATGCTGCAAGTATTCAATGAACTATTACTTAAAGCTAAAATTCATGGATGGAGGCATATATAACTTTAATACCAAAAGAAGAGGCAGATCTGCAACAGATAAAGAATTATAGATTGGTATCTTTATTAAATGCGGATTATAAGATTTTTGCATCGATCATGGCTGAAAGATTTAAAAAATTACTAAATGAGTTTATACATTTGGATCAAAATGGCTTCTTACCAAAAAGACAAATTAGAGAGAATATTCAAACTATATTAAACGCATTAGAATATTATGAACTACACTCAGAGAAACAAATAGTGTTGTTATTTTTAGATGCACAAAAGGCGTTTGACAACGTGAATTGGCAATTTATGATAAAACAGTTGAAAATGATGGATTTTGGAGACAGATTTATAAATATGATCCAAACTATATATAGAGACCAAGCGCCAAAGGTGATGGTAAATGGTGAAATGACAGAGAAAATACATATTAGAAAAGGAACCAAGGCAAGGATGCCCTTTATCTCCATTATTATTTATATTAATGTTAGAGATTTTAAGTAGAAAAGTGAGGCAGGAAAAGGAAATAAAAGGAATGAGAATTAAAAAAGAATAATACAAACTACAAGCATTTGCGGATGATTTGGTGTTTATCATGGAAGACCCAATAGAGACAGCGGCAAAACTATTAGAACAAATAGAAGAATATGGGAAAGTAGCAGGTCTGAAAATCAATAAAGATAAGACAAAAATATTAGTCAAAAATATGAGAGAAAAGCAAAAGGAGATGATGGAGAAACTGGACATTCAAATTGTGAAGAAAGTGAAATATTTGGGCATCTATCTGACATCAAGATGTGCAACACTCAAGGAAGACAATTATCACAAACTGAAAAAACAAATTAAAATAGACCTAGAGAAATGGAGAAACTTGCAATTATCACTAATGGGAAGAATAGCATGGGAATTAATAAGAATGAATGTATTACCAAAAATATTATTTTTATTTCAAACTATACCAATAAAACTGGAGAAAAAATATTTTGAAGAGTTGAAGAAAATAACATGGAAATATGTGTGGCAAGGAAAGAGAGCAAGGATTAACATAAAAATGCTACAAGATGCAAGAATTAGAGGTGGGTTTGGCGTTCTGAATTGGGAATTGTATTATCAAGCAACAGCGTTAACATGGATTAAAGAATGGATTTTATTAAGGAATACAAGACTATTGACATTGGAGGGTCATGATTTACAACTGGGTTGGCATGCCTTTTTATGGTACGGGAAACAAAGGATACATGGATATTTCCAAAGACATTATGTAAGAAATGGTTTGCTATCAGTGTGGGAGAGAGTGAAAGAAAAACATTATTTGAATATTCCAATGTGGCTTTCTACAATAGAAGTGGTGACATACCCAAATATTTTGAACATGGGGAATATTGTTAGATATAAAGACATTTTAACAAATCGGGGAGAACAGGGATTGAGATAGATTGGTATACAAGACTGCAAATACAATCAAGATATGAAGCAGATCTTAGACAATATGGCTTTAACTTGGGGACATCAGAACTGGATGAAATATTGACAGGAACAGGTGAGAAAATGATTAAGAAATTATATAATTATTTATTGCGTATTAGACTAGAAGATGAAGAAGTAAAAGAAACGATAGCATGGGCAAAGAATTTTGGATACACCATAGAATTGGACAAATGGCAAGAACTTTGGGAAAGAAATTATAAATTAACAATGGCAACAGCTTATAAAGAAAACCTGTATAAGATGTTTTATAGATGGCATATGCCATCCGAAAGATTAGCTAAGATGTTTAAAGATAAAACAGCTAAGTGTTGGAAATGTCATCAATTGCCGGGATCATACTGTCATATGTGGTGGTTGTGTAAAGAAACAAAACAATATTGGGTGAAAATACAAACATGGTTAGAGGGAATGTTGCAGCAACATATAGAGTTAAAACCAGAGATATTCTTATTGGGAATTTTACCAGAGAATTATAGCAAAGAAGATACATATTTGATTATTCATATAATAACCGGCTAAAATTGTATTTCCACAAAACTGGAAAGCAGATAAAATTCCGTTGGAAGAGAAATTATAAAGAAAATTTTAGAATGTGCAGAAATGAATAGATTAACATTGAGAATAAAAGATAAAGAGGAGTCGATACATTTCAAGACATGGGATAAATTTTATGATTGGTTAGAAAAGAAACATGAATAAGGACATAGAGATAAAATAGAGAATAGATGGGAGAAAACAATTAGAAAAATAGATACCCAGATGATGTCAAGTAAAAGGAGAAAGGGGAAGGGGAAGTAAAAGGGAAAAAAGTGAGATATTATAAAAATGTACGCAAATGATGAAATAAAAATAAATAATTGAATAAGAAATTGAAACGAGAATAAAGATAATTAGGAAATTGGGGCTGCTCGAATACCACTTTAGATTGAACTGAAAAGGGAAACAACAGGAGAGGGGAAGGAGTAGAGAGAGAGGAAGGGAAAAGAGAGGAGAGGAGATTAGTTCCACAGATTGTTTTAACTGTCAGAAAATTTCTCCTTAGTTCTAGGTTGTTTCTTGATTAGTTTTCATCCATTGTTTCTTGTCTTGCCTTCTGATGCTTTGGAGAATAAGTTGACCCCCTTCTTTCAGGCAGCCCCTTAGATATTGGAACACTGCTATCATGTCAGTTTGTGATGCAATGTGTTATGCAAATCACCTCATACAGAAGAACATAAGTATATATATACTTGGCCATCTTTCAACAGAAACAGCAGTGAAAGGGAGAAAAGCTAGAATGGTAATTTTTTAGGTGAAGGAGTAGTTGCACTGAGGAGAAAAAAAAGGGAAACAAAACTGAGCTAAAAGTTAATAATTCAAATCTCATTGTCAGAAAATCTCTAGACATGCTTAAGCAAGACTTTTTTTATTGCTATTTGACCTATTAAAATTAGCTATATTAAAGTTAATTGAGAAAAGAAAGAGCAAAGGGGTTGGAAAGAAAACCCCAACCACTACAAAAAAGCAATGAATAATGTTTCCTTGTAGTTCCAAAGCTACTTAAAAAAAGCAAATATTTAAATAGGAAATAGAACTAGAGTTACAATTTGATTATGTGCAACCAAGTCAGTGTTAACTCATCACAACTATATAGATTTTCTCAGTGACAATATCTCCTGAATGTGATTCTTTTACCTATCACTTATCACCATTGTAACTCAGTCCATCGAACTTGCTCCTGGTCACTCTCTACTTCCACCTTTCCCCCCAAATATAGAGTTCGCTAGAGAATTAAATCTTCACATAATGTGTCCAAAGTATGATAATTGGAGTTTGGTTATTTGTGCCTTGAATGAGAAACAAATCCTAGTTCGTTTTGTTTCAAGATGCATTTGTTGTTTTCCTGGTTGTTGATGGTTGTTTGCTTAAGAAAGCAAATTGAGGGCAAGAATTTCTTGGGTACCAACCAGCTAAGCAATCAATAAATATTCTTCAGTTGTTAAACAGGAAATATGTCTCAGGTATCAATTTCAGTAGCAATTAAAGCACAATTAATCACCAGGATAAAAACCCTTCTGGAATATGTTGATGTTTGACACTGCCATATTGGCCAAAAGTCATTTATAGAGTGACATTCTGACATTTTAGACTGTTCAACGCTTTTTATGTCAGATGCAAAATAATATAAATTCTTATATTGAAATTGAGTTTTCCTGCATATTTATGGTAGATTTTGTTTTGAAGATCACTTATAGGAGGAGATACCTCTTTTAAGATAATATGTGTATGCAGTGTATGCAGAAACCAAATATTTTAAACAGATTTGTTTTCAAAATTTGTCTTAGCTATACAGTATATAATTTTAATTAAAATAATAGCCAAGAGTTTGTTGTTCAGGAAGGAGCACTGCTTGACTGTTTGTCAATCTCAACTAGAATCTATAAATTAATATTCTTACCCTGTTATTGCAGGTGGTGGACTAAAATCAGCAGTCTAAACCTGCATTTTTTTTAGAGATGCAGTCTGAATTGGGGATTTCATTGCTCTCTGTCTTCATCTTTTAATTTAACCCTCCTCAAATATTCTTTGTTCTTTTTTAATAGGACTACGGCCCCAAAGTGAACTTCAAGAAGCAGAAATTGAAAGCTGGCAATTTTTCTGGATTGCCCAGCTTCAGCAAGGAGATCGTGGCACGAATGAGAAAATATCCAGTTCTTGAAAGTTTTTCTCCTGTTGAGCAGTGCAATTTAGATTATGCTCCTGAGAGGGGATCTGCTATTGACCCACATTGGGATGACTGGTGGCTATGGGGAGAAAGGCTGGTGAGTTTAAACTTGCTCTCAGATACCGTACTTTCCATGTCCTGCGACTCAGAGGACAATCTCCAGTTATTTCCTCTAGTTCTTCACGAAAACAAGCAGAGGCACAGGTCTAAATCTCCTGATGTTTCTCAAGAGTATCAGATTAATGATTGCCGTCTTCTAGAAAGACTAGAAAGCACTGATTGTTCATCCACAAAATTAGTCCCACTCAGAGAAATCCTGGTTGCGATTTACCTACCTCAGAGATCACTCGTCGTTCTCAGCGGACCTGCTCGCTACCAGTGGAAGCATGCCATTTATCGCAACCATATTAAAAGCCGTCGCGTATGTGTCACCTTCAGAGAATTGACTGCCGAGTTTGGTCTCGGAGGAGAACAGGAAGAGCTGGGTAACAATCTCTTGGACATTGCTCTAACATTCAAGGGTTCACCTGTATAAACCCCCCGAGGGGAAAGCATTGAGGCTTTTCTTTGGCTGCTGGATATTAACGTTCAGGGCTTTCATAAACCTGCTGCCTTTTTTTCCTCCCCAGAGTGAAGGTATACATCATTCATTAATCTTACAAGGGTGCTTCTCAGAGTTATGTTCTAGAAATCTTACTAAATTTTTTAATCTACACTGTGGCTCTCCAGATGTTACTGAATTTAATTAATTTATGTTAACAGTGAAGAGAATACATGCCTCTTCTTTGGAATCAGAAGATTTCCTTTGAAAGTCTGCTTGCAGCGCATGGTCTGTGGCTTGTGTGTCAAAGTTGTGGTACAGGACCCACAATCCTCATCCTTAGCTGACTAACTGGGGCTGTTGAGAGTTGTAATTGATCATCTGGAGGGCCATAGCTTATATGGTCAGATGTATTAATTAAAAGTGTTAAATTTCTTATCCCTAACCCTGTTAAAATTATTAGTTTTAAGGGTGGGTATACATTCATTTCTCTCTTTATTTAACTCAAACTCAAACTTTAATATAAGAGAAATAAATTAAAAACAGAGTTTTTAATCCTTCTCACAATTATGGCATTTGTCCAAAGATGTCATCCTTGATATAGTCCAATAAAATATCTATTAATCATTATTTATCATCAAGATGATGATCAGTATCTAAACTGATTTTTAAAGACTGGTGAATTCACATATGCATAAATACCAGAGCATTCATTTTTTATCTTTACCTTCCAATCTCTATATTAGAGATCCTTGTATAGATTTATTTAAAAAGAAATTTAAAAATCATGATTAGAAAATGGAGGGGAAAAAAGCTGAACAAAGAAATAAAACCACAAATATATATTTTTTGTGTTCTTCAAGTTCTACTGACTGCCTGGACTAGTCACTGCAGTTTTCTTGGCAAGATTTTTGAAAGAGTTTCCCATTGCCTTCTTCTTAGGGCTGAAAGTGAGTGACTGGCTCAGGTTATCCAGCTGGCTTTGTACCAGCAGGAAAAGAACTGTTTCCTAGTTTCTAATTTGCTGCCTTAACCACTATAGCAGAGTTCCCAACCCCCGAGCCGTAGCCCATTACCGCGCCTCGGCCCGTTCAGAATTGGGCTGCACGAGTGGGTGGGCACTTGCATTCATGTACTAAGCTTAATTTGTGTGAGTGGTAGGCATGGTGCCTATCGTTTGCACAGATGGAACTGCGCACATTCATGTGCATGCCTGCTACTCACACAGAACCATCCCCTTTGCTCTGCCCACCAGTCCGCCAAGCTGGAAAGGTTGGGATCCGCTGCATACAGTAAACTGGCTCCCAACAATCCTCATCCTTTTCTAACTAGTTTTATAAATATGAATAAATTGATGTCACAATTCATTAATGTCTTCCGTAGCTGATCTTAATTGTAAATCCATTTTCTTTGTCCAAAAATAAAAAATGAAGCAATTTCATTTCCATGGTGGCGCAGTGGTTAGAATGCAGTATTGCAGGCTAATTCTGCTGACTGTGAGGAGTTCAATCCTTACCGACTCAAGGTTGACTCAGTCTTCCATTCTTCCAAGGACTCAGATTGGAAATTGTAAATTGCTTAGAGAGTGCTGTAAAGCACTGAAGTGCTGGTAAATACGTGCGGTTGCTACTGCTATTCCCAACAATATAAATGCAATGAAAATATTGTTTTTTGTGGAAAAGGTTGTAATCTAAAAATCTGCTGAAGTTTTTTTAAATCCTTGTTTTAATTAGTTAAACATGCAGGCAAAACAAAGATACATACATGCATATATTGTATGACCACAATTGAACCCAAAATTTCTGTTGATAAGCAAGGCAATGGTTAAGTGAATTTTGCCTCATTCTGTGACCTTCCTTGCCACATTTGTTAAGGGAATCACTACATTGTTGAGTTAGTAACATGGTTATTAAATGGACACTGGCTTCTCCATTGACCTTACTTGTCAGAAGGTTTCAAAAAGTGATTGCATGATCCTGACACATTGCAATATGCTGGGTGCCAAGTGTCCGAATTTTGATCGTGTGAGGATGCTGCAACAGTCACAGGTGTGAAAAATGGTCATAACTCAACTTTTTTCAGTGTAACTTTGTAACTTTGAATGGTCACTAAAGAAAGGGTTGTAAATTGAGAACTACCTGTGTGCATACTTAAGGTATTTTGAATGTGTTTACAGGTAATCCTCAAGTTACAACCACAATTCAGCCCAAAATTTATGTTGCTAAATGAGACAATTGTTAGGTGAATTTGCCCCATTTAATGACTTACTTGCTACAGTTGTTCAGTGAATCATTGCAGTTTTGGGTTAGCACCATAATTGTTATAGGAATCTGGCTTCCCCATTGATTCTGCTTGCCAGAAGATCACAAAAGGTGATCACATGACCCTAGAACACTGCAACTGTCATAAATATGAGCCAGTTGCCAAGCGCCCAAATTCTGATCACATGACCATGGGGATGCTGCCAACAGTCATGTGAAAAACAGTCATAAGTCACTTTTTTCAATGCTGTTGTAACTTTGAATGATAACTAAACAAATGGTTGTTAAGTCCAGGACTACCTGTATATGTGTATGTACGTCTTAGCTTCAATTGCTCCATGAGCTGTTGTATATAAGGGAACCATTCTTGTTTGAATTTCATTAGATTTCTGCTGCATAAATGTACTTTTAGTGGCTGCATATTCTTCAATTTTAAACTTCCAATCTTGTACTGACAGCCAGGTTTCCCCCCCCCCCCCAATATTGTGTCAGATTGATTTGTTGACTGATTGACTGTCGAGCTATATGTTAATAAATTATGATACCTTTCATTTATGTTCTCTGGAATCATAAGTGAAAATATTTGTTGTTTTAATTCAAATTTTATTAAGAATTTTCTGAATGTTTTGGTGTATTTCTTTTTAGTACTTCAGTGAGTTTTTTAGCGTAACTACCATATATAATAAAATATTCTATCTTGTTGAAACTTTTTCAACAATTTATTTAGCACTACAAAGATTGAAAAATCCCTCCACTAGGGTTTGATTATTTATTAACTACAGTAAAATATCTTCATGAAAAAGGTAGCATCTGTATTTCTATAATTAACAAGGCTTTTATAAGTGCATGTCTTTGATAGATGATGAAATTATTGTATAGTATGGTTGTGGTTTTTCTGATACAGACTGGTTATTCCTAAATGTAGCCTAATTTTAGCTGTTATTATATACAAAATATAATGTAACTTATTCACTTTCCCAGTTTACCTTGTTGGGGAATGGACCTATTTTCCATTATTACTGTTTTTATATTATTCAGCGAATATATCCCATTAGCATAACACACTTATAGTACCATATTGCAGTAAATTCACAAAACCCATCTCCCATCTTTCCTTAAAATTGCAAAGCTAAATAGGTCATAGTATATGACTAATCCTTGCACAGGTAGTCCTTGACTTAAAACAGTTCATTTAGTGACCGAAGTTATGCCGCCACTGAAAAAGTGATTTATGACCATTGCAGCATCCCCATGGTCATGTCATTTACATTTGGATGCTTGGCAACTGGTTCATATTTATGACGGCTGCAGTGTCCTGGAGTCATGCGATCATCTTTCCCGACCACCTGACGAGCAAAGTCAATGGGGAAGCCAGATTCACTTAACCAATGTGGCAAGTGGTAAAATGAGGCAAAACTCATTTAACACATTTCTCACTTAGCAACGTAAATTCTGGCCTTAATTGTGGTTGTAAGTCGAGGACTACCTGTATACTAGCAGATAAAACATGGCAAAACCACAAAAGTAGGAAGCCAGGAGGATCTGCAGGAAGTCAGTCATGAAGGACTCCTTGGGAGGACTGGATATCGCTGTGGTTAATGAGATTAATTTGCTGATGTCATTTGCACGATGTGGCTGCAGTATGCAAAACATATTCCAATGGATCCAGAGTTGAGGCTGCACATTAGGCATACAAATTTGAGACGCTAGAAGGCCAAAATGGGCAAATTAATGATAAATAAGAGTGATCAATAAGAGTGAAATGGATGTTGGCTTACCTGAACGTCCCTTTTCAGCTCACTGCAATGACAATCCACACATGGGTAATCACTTCATGCTTAGCTTGAGACTCAGTGTTTAAACTTTTTCCGTTGGTCTGGCCATGTCCTCTTCAGTCTTTTTCACGAAGGCATGTGCAATAGAGCGCGTAGAATCACCATCCAAAGGAACATACAACCGGCCGTACAATCCAAGGAGGAACCGTCACCCAGAACCTGTAGAAGAAGCACAAAGAACCACCCTGGCCCCAGAGCAGACAGGCCATAGGGAGGGTTGGATTGTCGTCGCAGCGAGCTGAAAAGGGACGTTCAGGTAAGCCAACGTCCATTTTCCAGCTTCGCTGCTCCGACAATCCACACATGGGATATACCCAAGCTTATACACACTGGGCGGGGGCCTGACTGCTCCCCTGGTCCTGGGCAGAAATTACACATCGTAAAACACGTCTCCCAAATGATGCCTCGGTCGAGGCATAAATATCTAATTTGTAATGCCTTACAAAAGAAGATAAAGATGACCAGGAAGCCACCCTGAAGATGTCCTCTACTGATGCTTGGGTAGCCCAAGCGGCCAAAGTGGCTGCACTTTGAGTAGAATGCGGCAAAATCTTCCCTGGCAAGGGCTTGGCTGCCAATTCATAAACTTTAGAAATACACGCCCTCAGCAATCTGACAACTGTAATGGGCGAGACTTTTTGTCCCATAGATGACGGGTTAAATGAAACTAACATTCTTCGGAAGGAAGCCGTCCGTGCAATATGGCGCCGGAGCGCTCTGCGTACATCCAGCGTGTGCCACCTCGCTTCGGTTGGATTGTGAGGATCAGGGCAAAAATCTGGTAAAATGAGCTCTTGAGCTCGGTGAAAGTAGGAATTGATTTTAGGCAAAAATGCTGGATCCAAACAAAGTACTACATGATTGGTATGAAAGATGCAAAGGTTACTTTGAATGGAGAGTGTTGACAGGTCAGAAACCCCGCGAGCAGTTGTCACCGTTAATAGAAATACAAGCTTTAATGACAAGAATTTAAGACCGACGGATCCCATGGGTTCGAAAGGTGCATCAGTTAACGCTTGTAGTACCAACGTGAAATCCCATGTTGGATATCGATGAACTATGGGCGGAAGAAGATTATTAGCACCCCTGAGGAAGGAACCAATCCACGGGTGATGTGACAAAGTCCCGTAAGTATCACAGGTAAGTACCGTAGATAGTGTTGCCACTTGGTGACGGAGGGTCGAGGGCGCTAATCCCTTGTCCAGTCCAGATTGTAAGAAGTTGAGCATGTCGGACATGGATGCTGATGTTGGCTCAACATGAGCCCTGGAACACCACTGGCAGAAAATACGCCACGAAGCATTGTAAATTCGAGTTGTTGAAGGTCTCCTGGAAGTCTGCATGGTATCTATAACTTTCCCTGAAAGATTGTCCCTCCGCAAAAGGACCCTCTCAAATGCCAGATGGTCAACCTGCGTCACTCGGGCTCCAGATGACAGACGACCCCCCTCGCTGAGAGAGACCTTCTCCGGAGGAATCTTCCAGGGACGAGACACTGACAAATTTACGAGATTGGCGAACCACGCCTGACGCGGCCAGTGAGGCGCGACGAGAAGGATTTCTGCATTCGCGGTGCAGTTTTCAAAAAACTTGTGGTATGAGAGGAATAGGTAGATAGAAGGCATATAGAAGGCCTCGAGGCCATGTGCAACGAAGGACATTGGATCCTTCCGCCCTGGGAGATGGGAATCTTGAAAAGAATCTTAGTAGTTGTGCATTTTCTGGTTGAGCGAACAGGTTGAGAATTGGGTTCCCGAATATCAGAGACAATTCTAGAAATAGCTGAGGATGAAGCCTCCACTCAGATGGGTCGAGATGGCTCCTGCTCAGCCAGTCCACTTGAAGATTCAATGACCCCAAAATGTGTTGCGCTGTCACAGAAAGAGTGTGCCTCTCTGCCCAGTTCAGTAAACGTTCCGCTTCCTCCATAAGTTGCTTGGACTGGGTGCCCCCTGTCGGTTTATATGGGCCTTTGTAGCCATATTTTCTGTTAGTATCAAGACATGGCGACCAGAAACCTGGGCCTGGAAATGACGAAGTGCAAGTCTCACTGCCCGTAGTTCCAACCAATTCATGCTTTGGCGACGTTCCGCCAGAGACCGCAGACCTTGTGCCACCTGCAATAGATGTGCGCCCCATCCGTGAAGACTCGCATCGGTCATTAGCATGATGCGGCCGGATTCCTGAAAGAAACACCTCTTCAGTAAGGCTGATGATGTCCACCATTGGAGAGACAGACGGACTTGAGATGGTATCTGCACTTTGGACAGGGAAGTGCTGCGTCCCCATCTCTGGAATGGTAACAGGAACCACTGTAACAGGCGAGAATGGTGACAAGCCCATGGACAATCGATAGAGCAGAGATCATCTTCCCCAACAATTTGGAAAGGAGAAGCAGCGGAACTAATCTTTGTGATAAGATTGATGACACGATCTCCTGTATACTGTGCTGACACTCTGGCGAAAGAAACACTTGGCCCTTGAGCGAATCTATCACCGCTCCTAGGTGGACAATTTGCGTGGTGGGATGCAGGTGGCTCTTTTGTAGATTGATCGTGAACCTATAGTGTTGAAAGGTACGAATCACCGTGTTGGCGTCGGTCAGTGCCTGCGATGGACTGGACAACAGAATTAAGATGTCGTCCAGATAGCAAAGTAATCGAATTGGTACAAGGTAGACGGATGCTGCTACTGCTGCAATCAATTTCGTGAACGTCCTCGGTGCCAACGAAAGTCTGAACGGCATGGCCCGGTATTGGTAATGATGATTTGCATACGCAAATCTTAGAAACTTCCAATGTCCTGGGTGAATTGGCACATGCAAATACGTCTCCTTCAGGTCCATTGACTGTAGCAGGTCCCCCTGTCTTACTGATGCCAGAATTGATCTGAGCGATTGCATCCTGAATCGCCTGTACAATATAAATTGATTTAATTGTTTGAGATTTAATATCCCTCTCCAACCCCCCCGAACTTTTCGGAACTAGAAAGAGGATGGAGTAAAACCCCATCCCCTCCTCATTCTGTGGCACCGGTTCGATAGGTCTGATATGTAAAAGATGTCGAATCTCATCCTCCATAAGTTGTTTCTTTACATGGAGATGAGGAACCAGGCACGGAATATACCTGTTTGGTGGTTTGGAGAGGAATTCCAATGTCAGACCGAATTCTACAGTTCATCGAATCCAAGCATCCGCTGATCCGGAGTCCCATTGGCAGTAAAATTGTTGAAGATGGCTGCCAATTGGGGATTGTGGCTGGGAGTCACTTGCCACAGCGGAAGGACCGGTTACCGGTACCCCTGAAGTATCTTTTGGACTGGGCCTGGTGTCTGCCATGGTACCGGAACGTTGCATGGTCAGATTGTTGGTTAAATCCCCGTGGGTAAAATTGTTGATAATAGGACCCTCCGGATCCGGAATCATAACGAAAGGGCTGACGGTATGAATAAGATGCGAATCTGCGGTCCGGTCTCCTTTGGGAGGAAAAAAGGACCTTCTGTTTGTCACATCCTTCTACTAAAGCTGGATCTAAAGCCTTCCCAAAGAGTTGTGACCCTTTGTATGGGGCAGACGCAAGTTTCCATTTAGATTTGTTATCTGCTTTCCAGTGGCGAAGCCACAAAAGTCGGTGCGATGTTACAGCTGATGCTAAAGCCCTGGAAGCAAACTTCACTGCATCTAATGATGCATCTGCCGAATATTCAGTGGCGGCGA